TCCACTGTGGATTAGCAGCCACATTTCCCCTCAGTAATCAAGTCTAATCTCTGCAGCCAGCACAGCAACTCTCTTCTTTGCCTGTTGACTTAGATGCATGAGGAGCCCAAAATGGCTGGGCAGCATTATTTACTTCCAGTTCAATAAATTTATTGATGTATCTCTCAGTGGAAGTTTTCTTCCCTTTGGAGGTAAGATCTTGAGGCCAGCAAAGCCCAAGAATGTGCAAACAGCAAGCAAAAATTTTCTAGTGGGTCACTGCAGATAATAACAGTGATGTCACTCTTATTTCTAGATCTTGATTCCTAAACCTGTGAATCCCAGCTACAGGAAAGGCAGCACCTATATTAGGCATTAATTCAAAGCATATACAACCTTCTAGGGAAACTTTCCCCAACCTTGCAAGGTATTGCCAACTGGTTGGCAAAGGAACTAAATTTTTAATAGGGCATTCCATCATTCTATTAAACCAGCTGCCACAGGGTGATGAGGAACATGGTAGGGTCAGTAAACGCCATGTGTATGGGCCCATTTATGAATCTTTTTTTTTTTTTTGGCTGTGAAATGAGCTCCTTTGTCAGAAGCAATGCCATTTGGAATATTATGAAGCATTCTGCAAATTATGCAAGCACAAATATGGTAGCTTTGGCAGAAGCAATGCCTGCAGGGAAGGCAAATCTATATCCAGTATAAGTGCCTATTTAGTATTTACTAAGGACAAAACATTATCTCTTCCAAAATGGGAGCTATCCAATGTAATTATCCTGCCATTATGTAGCTGACTGATCATTTGGGGGATGGTGTCATATCCAAGGCTCAGTGTTGGTTTCTGTACCCGAGAGCTTCAGCACTGTCAGCAGTGGCTGGAGTGAGGTTGGCCTTGGTGAATGGAAGTCCATGTTGCCGAGTCCAAGCATAACTCCATCCCAGCCATCATAGCCAGTTTGTTCATAAGCTCATTGGCCGATGAAAAAGGTAGCTGGGAAAAGAGGCTGACTGGGATTCGTAAAACAGACTATCCTGTCCACTTGATTATTAAACTGCCAGTATGTTGGGGTTGTCATTTGGTGCCTATTCAGATTGATAGGCAAAAATGTGATTCATATGCCTTTTCCACAAATTTCTTTGTCACCTATTGTTCAATCATGCTCCTCCCATGGTCTTAGTCATGAAACCATACTATTAGTCATAGCCTGTGAATATGTACACAATTGTACATGTGTCCATTACACCTTCCAAGCAAAGGGAACAACCAGGAGCATTGCTCAAATTCTGCCACTAGCAAGATTTCCCTTCATCATTTCTATTCACAAATGTTATAGAAAGGGGCTCTATGCTATAGCTGTCTACTTTCAGTTGGTGCCTGCATATCTTGCAGAATCCTCTGTAAAACAGACCTAAACCTTTTCTTTAGTAAAACCAATCACAGGGGATTCTCTATGAGGCCACAGAGGTAGTCTGAGGGAGAAGACAGTGTAGGAGTGGGGATTATGGACATTTGTGCTACTTCTTCAACTTTCTTGTGCCTCAGGGCCTACTGAGGCCATATCACCTATATAAAACTTCTATTTGATGATGCAACTCTTGTGTATGTCCAACTTTATGACTTGGTGAGTCAGGTAACAGTACGCTCACTCAAATTACATAGTTAATTGGTAGACAATTGGTCTTCAGTAGAAGACCAGTAACTGCCTCTCAAAGAGAGAGTAGTTATCGGCAGAGAATAGCAAAGCATTTTTCCAAAACTCTGTGAGAGTGTGCTATCTTCAAACCATTAGATGAGACACACATATATTGAGAAAGTCAATCTGTTTTTGTTAGACTACTGATTCAAATATTAATTTCATCTGAAAAATCATACAAACACACCCAAGATATGATTTAATTGAATATGTCTGCATCCCACGGCCCAGTCAAGCTGACACATAAAACTAACCATCACAGATGTATTTTAAATTGTTAGTTTGTTTTGTATGTACATGCTTAATTTTTCAAATTTCTCAAAACAAAAAGAAAACTGCATCATGGCAAAACAAAAAGATACTGCTGAAAAATAATAGCAGGTTTAAAAGGTACGGTTATTGGGCGTCTAATACATAACATTCTCTACTTATCCACATTTTTCATCTTTTGCTATTTGTTTCCTTTCATCAAAAGTATGTATTTCTCTTTCTATCCTCTTAGAATCCAATGACTAGTAATGCAAGGATAAAAGTACAAAAATATTAACTATAAAAGGTTTGAAAAAGGCAATTCAAAAAGATAGTCATTAAAAACATCACTGACACATAGAATTATAAGATGTAACCTAAATTAAAAAGGCAAGTTTTATTTTATGTATTATCTGATTTTTCTAATTGTATTTATGTGATTAGTTAGTGTTAAAAAAGGAAGTATTAGTGGACTTCAAGAAATAAATGTTGAGTGATTGAATAGAAGAGTATCAGTCTTTGCCTGATGTATTTTACAGCTGAGTGGGCACGGTAAACAATTACATCAAATGTGATGAGTATCATTTTAGGGAATGAAGTGTGCTGTGTAAGTCCAGAATAGACCCATCCATCCTAATTTAGTGAGTCAGGAAAGGCATCCCTAAGGAGGAAATTTTAAAATAAGATATGACAAATTTAAAGGAAAATACTAAAAAAAGGGAAAGATGTTGAAAGGTGAGATGCAAACATCAGGTTTGAAAGCTAGAACAGGCCTTCTGAGACATAAAGACAACACAAAATAATTGTTATGTATAGAATATATATATAGCAAGAGGGAAAAGAGGCAGATATGCCCCTGAAATTCAGGGCCAGATTATCCAGGATGTATAAATAAGGTTATGGAATTCAAGCTATTATAATAACAATAAAAGTAAATATTAAAAATATATACTCTTTTAATAAAATAAAAAAATTTAAAAAAAAACAAAAAAACAGCGAAAATCCCAAAACCTAAAAAAAAAGAAAAAAAAAAAAAAACAAGCAAACAACATGCCCAGTATAACACGGAAATATGCATGACACTAACCCTGGTTTTTATGACTTCAGGTGTATAGTTCTTAAATGCTGTGACTTGAAGACTTTTAACCTAGATAGTAATATGACTAGATTTATGATGTGGAAAAATCACCCTCTTTGGTATAAAAAATCGCTTGAAGTAGAGCAAGAGTGGAGGCAGCATGATTAGAAGATTGCTCTGGTGGTCCAGAGAAGACAAGATGGTGGAGAATATATGAAGTAGCCACAGAAATGAAGAAAGATGTCTTGAGAAGCTATTTCACAGATGGAAAATCTACCTACGTATGATAATTATTTTGATGCTGAACTTGCAAAGGAGGTGCAAAATATGAAACATTAATAATTTGAGCTATGATTAAAAACAGAATTTTAATAGTCAAATAATTCAAAGAAAATGGAATGCTGAAGAAAGAAGTGAGGGCAGGATGTAACAGGAATTGTAAAGTGTATGATGTAAGTCAAGGTAGCAGGGATAAGCTAGTTAAAACTTCAGTTTTATTTAAAATATACTCTTCTGGTAATTTTGAATATATAATTATTATCATTTATTATACTCACTTTGCAGAGCAAAAGACAGCTGAAGCTTATTACTCCTGAATAAGAAAATTTTCCATTTCTTGATCAATATCTCTCATCTCCATCCACCTCTTTGTAAATGTTCTCACCACAAAAACAAAATTATAAGTATGTGAGGTGATGGATTTGTTAGTTTTATTTAATAATTTTATAATGTAAGCATATATAAAAATATCATACTGCACCTATAATTTATGATATAAATAGTCATTGTTTTCAGTTAATTTTTAAAAATTATAATTTTAGAATCATGTTAGGATTGCAGAAACTTTAAGGTTTTTTTTCAATTCATAATTTCTAGGATTACATGGTCTGTTTGTTTTAAATATTCCATGATCAGCCTTCTACATTAAAAAGTTATTTTTGTAGATGGGCACATATTAATGGAAATAAAATAATTTATGAAAAAACCCTATTTTTTCCTTAGACGTAGTTCATATGAACAGAGGACAAGCTGCGAGTTTTATATTACTTGAATCCTAAAAGATCTAAAAAATACAACATTTTATAAAAATGAAAACATTGTGGTTGAAAAAGTGTTCTCCTACAGTCATATAGAAAATAAGCAATTAAAAATCTCTCTCTCTCTCTCTGATTAGTCTCTTTTAAACAGAGCTTGTGTTTCTACAAAGAATATTATACCTAATTCCATATTCCCCCTTAATCATGATTTTACTTTCTGAGGTTTCAATTACCCATGGTAAATAACAATAAGATATTTTGAGAGAGGGAGAGAGACCATTCACCTAACTTTCATTACAGTATATGGTTATAATTGTTCCATTTTATCATTAGCTACTGTTGCACATCTCTTATTGTGCCTAACTTAGAAATCAAACTTTATCATAGGAAGGTTCATATAGGAAAAAACATACTATATACAGGGTTCAGTACTATCCACAGTTTCAGGGATCCGCTTATGAAATGTATCCCCCACAGATAAGGGGATAATCTCTCCTGAAGGGGAATAAAATCAGTTAAAAATTAAGGTATCTACTCTAACCTTGTCATTATAATAAATTCAGAAATCCCTCATATCTTAGAGCTTAGTCATTTTAAATGTAATCAGCATTAATTAATATTTTACACTCAAAATGTAGGTTAATTTTTTTTTTAATGCACTAGTGGTCAAAATCTTGGTAACATTTTACAGATAAATATCTTTGTTTTGACAGATACATATAAATTTTCACATTATTTTAAATCTAGTCTCTTATGATGTCTAAATGTGACTGTTAAAAATTTTGAGTATATAAGAACAGAAATATTTAACTTCCTCCCACAGTGAAAGTCAAGATAATCATTAAGATAATCATTGCATAGCTGTTATATGGACACATATTTATAGTGCCAAAATTATGTTTTATGTAATGATAATGTATATATTTACAGAACTCTTTTTTTCTACCTCTAAAGCTTCACACTGACCAAGATAAAGGAGATGGAAATTTAAAATACATACTAACAGGAGATGGGGCTGGCAGTCTATTTGTTATAGATGAAAATACAGGAGACATTCATGCTGCAAAGAAACTAGACAGAGAAGAAAAATCTCTGTACATTCTTCGTGCCAAGGCTATAGACAGAAAAACTGGGCGGCAGGTGGAACCGGAATCGGAATTTATCATTAAAATTCATGATATCAATGACAATGAGCCAAAATTTACAAAAGACTTATACACTGCCAGTGTTCCTGAAATGTCTGGAGTCGGTAGGTATATTCTAATCCATGTAAACTTTTTTATTTGTTTGTTTTCTCAGGTAATTATTATTTACATGTGGTTATGGTATGTGGCCTCCTTCAAGATAATAGTTGTAACTACTATTTAGTTTAAACAAACTCTTCTATTTTAAATTCTATGTATTTTAATTCTCCTGTTTTGCTGTAATTTATATAAAATATGATTACTGACGGCAGTTAATTCATGTTATTTCAATCAATATCCTCCACTCTACTTAACCGGCATTCAAAGAGCAGTCAAGTGGAATGTATTTTTGCAAGAAATAAAAAAAAAAAATAGCATCAGCAGCTTTGGACATTTTTGCTTGCATTATTTTGAATAACAATTAATGCTTGCATTTGGCAAAGTTCTATTGAAGTGTTTTCTCATTTGATCATTAAAGCCAACTTATGTGGTAGGCATGAGAAATGGAACTTTAAATCCCTGTCTGTTAATTAGGAACCAAAGATTCAGAAAGGCTAAGCAAGTGAATTAAGATCAAATAATCTGGTAGTATCATGACAAGATTGCAAGGCTTTTTATGTTATTTTTGTGCGCATTTCACTGCTGACCATTGGCTTATGCAAATTGAAAAATAATTGTTTCACTTCTTGCTGTCCACCATTTTAGATACCACTTGTAAAAAGTTTTATCTGTGTATGACTACATTTAACTCTATTGATATGAAAGGTCTAGATTTGTTAACAAGAGAATGAGAACTGATTCAAATCATAAAATATTTCTAAAATAAGTGATATAAGTGGATTTATAAGATCTGCAACCAATTTCCCAATTTCGATACGATTTAGTTGAACACTATTTCAAAACCAGTTTTAAGTGTATGATTTTGACATTTTTATAACTAATGCTTCAGTCTAAAATAATTTCTATACAAGGAGAAACAAACTTATCCACAAATTTGCTGAAAGTTTAATGTAGAATGTTAACTATGTGGGCTTTTTAGTAGGAAGAACCAAGAGTTTTTTAAAAACGTATTTATTCTCACCTCAAATGAAATCTCATCCACCTGAGGAAAACGCAGTTAAATAGCCCTTTCAGATATTCCCTCTAATAATACCGAAGGGATTTATCAAATTAGACAGGACTTCTGTGAAATCACAGTGCCCTAAAATAAAACATAAGTTGATTTCTCCTGTTATATTTTTTAGTACCTGAGTTGCATGGAAAGTACTGGATTGGTTTGTATAGGCTTACCAGTGGGCTACTTTGGACACCTGTCATGGTTTTGAAATGGGTTTATATGTGAGGAAAATGTACATATAAAATTATATTCATCAACTTCCTATAGATGATTATTTTAAAGTAATCCTGTTTTTAAGTTAGTGCCTTTTATAAGATATTATTATTTCTCTTGTGTACGTATTGTTTTGTGAGATATTTTGAAATCTTACAGTACAAAAACTTTCACTTGTCCTTCCTCAGAAAGATTTGACACATCTAGAAAAGTAAGAAGTGTAATTAAGATAATGAAAATATCTAAATATGAGAAATTTTAATAATAATTGCTTTAGATGTGAATGCACAAAAGTTTTTCAAAGAAGTACCCCACTTTTGTGGAAAAACAAATATTTCCCTATCAGGAACTATTGATATCTAATCACACATAACCTGTATTTTCTCCTACATTATTTTCAGTGGACTATTATGTTTCATTTTGTGTATTAACATTTATCAGCTGTATATAGAAATCAAATATGTTTTGTCTCATATGAAATATTAATGTAACTTGGTTCTATTAATACTGGTTGAGTATGTAACAATATCAGGACTGAAATAAACACACACACACATACATACACACACATACACACATGTTTTAAAATCCTGGTTTCATCATTCGTAATAAAATATACAATACATAAGTTTATGCATAAAGGATGGTTTGTAGTTTATATTGCACAAAATCTCCTTCTGTACAAAACCTCTTTCTGTTAGGCAATCTCTATTTCATTTGCATAAGCTTTAAAGTGTAAGCAGTACACTTTCAGATTAGTGTAGGTTGCAAAAACAAGGATTTGAGCCAATGTCAGCTGCATTCACTTCGTGGCTAGAATTACCATGAAATGAGACAAGTATGTAGCAGCAGGCAGCTGTATGGCTCTGGCTTCAGCTTTTGGCATTAAAAATTAAGTGTTTAAGAATACAGTAAATTTTAATCCTGTTTGTAGAGAACATTCCTCATTGCTAATATTAACATTACATTACTTGCTTCCACCTTGGTTCACCTATAGTTTTGTATGTGCTACCATTACTTAAATATAAACGTACAATATATTTTATTATATACAATATGTATAGGCAGAAGATACTACACTTGATTTAATTGCCTATTTTAATAAATAAATAAAAATGAGCCCAAAAGAATTAAACTGACTTGACCAAAACCACACAGAATCAGCTTACTACTAGCCTATTTTTAAAAAGAAAAAGGAAAGTTAATAGATGCAGAGTGTATCAGTCCATTTTCATACTGCTGATAAAGTCATACCTGAGATTGGGAAGAAAAAGAGATTAATGGACTTACAGTTCTACATGGGTAGAGAGGCCTCACAGTCATCACAGAAGGTACGTTGAGGCAAGTCATGTCTTACATGGATGGCAGAAGGCAAAGAAAGAGAACTTGTGCAAGGAAACTCCTGTCTTTAAAACCATCAGATCTCGTGAGACTCAGTCACTATCAGGAGAACTATGCAGGAAAAACCAGCCCCCACAATTGACATGGGAATTGTGGGAGTTACAATTCAAGATGAGATTTGGGTGGGAACACAGCCAAACCATATCAAAGAGATAGCTGGACCGTTTTAATGCCTATTTTTCTCTGTTAAATAGTTATGCTTATTATTCAAAATGTAATCTGGAAAACTTTTAATTTATTAAATTGAGAGTAACTCCTCTAAAGTAGTAACTTTCTCATTTATTACTTTATATCAAATGCCCTTATCATTCAAACTAAATCTAAATAAGAATATAGGGGATAAAGCCTCTGCTTTTTAATACATACATATCTATATATAACCATATATATATAAAACTATGTATATAACCATATATATCACTATATATATAAAGCCATATAAATAATATCTAAATAAAAAGTAGATGTATTTTACTTCCTAAACTTGTGTTGATCTTTTTTTGTAACTCTCCTACCTTATTTAAAGGAAAATAAAAGACTAACTCATTATAATAATTGCAGGTGTGATTTTCTTTATACCTATGTATGCAAATAAGCCAATTTACTTAGGAAAACTAACAAGTAATATTTCAGAACTCTGTCATGCCTTGTGTAATCCATATATTAACAGTTAAATCTGATGCATAATCTAAGAATTAAGAATGCATCTATAAATAAAATAATTCATAATAATTTAATTCTATAATTATTTTCAGATAGTACAAGGGATTTCATTTAAATCAGAGTTGAAAGCAACAAGTATTAGCTTTGTGAAGAAATAGAGTCTTATGGAATAAGACAAGATTTCTTTATTATTGCCCTACCCTTCTTTACAATGTTATCTTCTGATAATCTCCATTTATCTGCCCCTTATTTCCATTCACTTTTAGTTCCTAAAGTATTTGTTTCTTCCTTTTCTCTCTCACCAATTCCCTTCCTTGTTGCTTCCCTCTGCCTCAGTTGCTGTCTGTCACAATCATATGCTATATTTCACATTAAATTTTTAGTGCCAAATGCCCTACCCCATTTTCAGTTAAATTAAATTGCCTCCAATAAACTCATGAAATCTGAAATACATTAGCACATTCTAATCAGAACATATAACCTGGAAGCTATATAAAGATACATAATTGAATATAATGGGATATACTTTGCTTACAACGTTTTCTATTTTCCATTTCCATTTCTACTTTTTATATTTTTCATTTCTTGTGATCATTATACTATTGATTAAAGATTTTCTTTGAACTTTCTTCATGTGCATGCTTTCTAATTCTCCTAAGCAAATTCCTATTGTGTAAATTTGGTGATTTGGGATGCATCCTTTCTCAATGACTGGAAATTTTCCCTACCTTCACTCTCAAAAACATATCCAGTCCTCCTCCCAGCACTTTGATCCCCAACCAGGAATCCGTTTGTAGTTTTTTACAAACAGTAAAAGTAACTCAGTCAGTGAATTCTTCATGTCCCAGAGGTTTACTATGTGTGAATTCAATACTGTATCCAGTTGTATCTGTAACACCAGAGAGTTAGGCCATTTGGTAAAATATGTATAAGGAAATTTTTTTAACCAAATGTATTTAGAATGGAATTAGACCTAGGTCAGCTCTATCACCCACTGGGTTTGTGATCATTAGCAATTTTTATGTGCTCCAAGGCCCACATCCCACATATGCCCTGAAGATAAAGTAATAAAAACCAATCAGGTACTGAGAACTACATCTAGTCCACATTAAGCATTCTGTGAATGTTAGTTCTTATGATTTTGCACTAGATGCTCTGCTTGGTTTTAAGTACAAAATGTTGAATAAACCAGATATGGACTCTGCCCTTAAAGAGTTTTCATTTAACAGGAAAATGAACTTATATTTAACAAAGCATGATTTCAATTCCTGGACATCTAATCAATAGACCCCTTAGAATTTCACTGCAATATCTGAAAACATCACCCCTACTTCTCTTATTAGTGTCCCCCACAGCACAAACATTTATGTTGAGGGCATTGTTTTCCCCTGCTCCTCAAATTAATGGCTGTCATCACACTATGGCAGAAGCAAGTAGCTGACTGTCAAACCAGATTCACAGAGAGGTGTGAAGAATAACCTCCTTTTTCATTTTCTATAACTTTCTTTACCTTATTCTCACATTGAAAATATTCCAATTTCTTTTCTACAGTGGTCAATAGTCAGGCCTTAGGCTGTAGGGTAGAATAAAGAGCATACTATTCACTGTTTTTCTTTGTTTCCCCTAGTTCATAGAGTGATTCTGTTTCTTTACACTTTATTTGATTTTACCATTATATCAGCAACTCCAGACATACAGAAAGACAGATGATAGATAGATATACACAGATACAGACAAAAAGAAAGTATGTGTGAGAGAGAAAGCTTTTAAATGTTATACAACATAATAGGCTGTGAAGTGTATTTTCTGACATTAAAATGACACAGGGTTGCTGTTTATTAAAATGTAAAGGCCGTATTTCCCCTCCTCAATATTATCTGTGTTTAGTAAAACAGTTTTAAATTAGTAACATTTATACTGCTTAAGTAGTCTTTGCATGCAAATATTTCATTGTAACTTTCTATATAAATATAATTAATCAATGATAGATGATAGATAGAAGGCCTATGTTTTGGGGTCATTTACATTTGATATTTTAAATATTTCGAACAGCAGATTCAAAACATTTTCATATTTACATATAAGGCACAAATATATAGAGGGACATCTCTTCTTTTGTATATGAAGTTTATTTTGTATACTGTAATAACTTGAATTGATATAACTTCCTCTAATATGATGTGTAAATATATATATGTAAGATCAGCTGGCATAGCTTGATTACATTGTGTAATCTAGACTTATCTTTAAATTATAATAATAATTATATTGATGAATTTTTCTTCCATATCCAGAGGAGTACTTTTGGTTCCCCAAAATCTGTAGCCATCAAGTTATTTATTTATCAGCTTTTAACATTTCTTCACGATTTACTATTATAGAATTAGCCTTTGTGTCTTTGAAATTTTTCGTAAATATTCTTAATTATATATTTAAGTAAATAATGAGTTAAGAATTACAGTGAACTTATTTGATTCTTTAACATATTTTCTATTTAAATTAAGACATATTATATGTGAAACTTATAAACATATGAATTGCAAAAATAATGATCTCAAAGTCAAGTTCATCTCTTTGATATGAGATGAAATACATAAATTTGTCATTCAAGTTTCACTGTGTTTTACTTAGTATATTTTTATATTTTTTTAATATGAAAACAAAATATTTATTTTAAATAACTAATGAACAGATAAAAAGTATATGTATTTTGGAAAATTTAGAGGGATGTAAATATCCAAGTGTATTCTCTTTTATTCTGTCTTTATAAACAAACATTTATAAACTTAGTATAAGACATATAAACCATTTTCTACCTAATTTTATTACTACTTTTAACTGTGTAATAAATCATTATATTTCTGAATAAAACTACAACTATTTATTCCCTATAATCCACCATACTGTCTCTCTGTTTGCTAAAAAATAACATATCAATAAAAAAAATAACATATCAATGATATTTTATCAGTGATTACCAGTGTTTAAAAGCAATCCTTAGTATTACCAGAATTCTGAGAGGTGGGACAAGCATTTTATATGTGTGCATTTAGCTTTTTAGCCACATCACAGAGTTTATTTCTACTGTTTATATTAACCTCTTTGTGAAGCATCTTGGCTTAACTTCAAAGAACATCTACCCAATGATAGAGCTGATCACTGAAACTAAAATTTCACAACAAATATATTATTCGAAAGAGTCAAATAGCTATAGAAGACTGTTTTTACCTGCACCCACGATGAAAGCTTACAATATGCCGATATTAAAAGAAAAATAAAATGGGTAACTCAAGAAACATCCTAAAATTATGAACTATTTTTATTTTTAGCATATTGGTAATGCTTAATAATTCATATTTCAATCACCCCCAATTGTGAAAACCACACTTATTCTAATATATATCACATAGAGTTATGTAAAAGATATTACATGTAAATTAAAAAAAAAAACACTTTGTTGAACTTCTGCACATCATAAAGTGATTTGTGTTGGGGGGATGAAAATCACTTTATCTTTTTTTTCATCTAGTGAACACATGAGTGGATAATTTTTTAATGATAAAAGTTTACAGCTGGGACGAATTAAGTAAATATGTAGTGCTTCCATCCACTCACAGGACACATCGATTCCATTACAGTTGAGAAAATAAGGGCCTCAAGAGAATGAACTCCAGTTCTCATCGTTATGCTAATTAATTCTGAGAAAACATTAAAAAGGCTTGCTCAATTCATGTGTTAACATTCAAATATATCGACAGGAAATAAGCTGTTAGTATTTATCTTAATTACCATATATTAATTTTTTTTGGAATTGCCATACACATATACACAAAACATTGGAGAAACCTCCACCATAATTCAATTAGACAAGTTATTGAATGTGTAATGTATGTGGGCTTATTAAAATGGTTAGTGGGGTCAATATGGAATTCTCCTTGTTTTTAAAAACTTTAAAATATATGTAAGAACCAGACTCAAACTTTTAGAAAGTATGTAAAATATACTGAAAATGTCCTACAATCTAGGTTTGTCCAAGGCCATGCCTCGGAGACTTCAGTTAAGGGTGACGTTAGAACCATGCTTTGAATCTTTATAGAAATACAGAAAAAAAAATTTTAAAAATCATCAATATATTTTATTATGTTTATTCCCACTTTTAAAGCACTTTTATCTTTTGAAATATTTGAAACAAAGTTTAAAATAATTTATGTTTTATGATATAAAATTTATATCAAGGTTAAATTATAATATTGCATGTGGTCCCAGAATTATACAGTTTACACCTCCTTTTGGATAATAGTGATTCACAAATGTGCAGGAAATAACCCATATTATGCAGTATATCAATAGGGGTAATCATAACTAACCATATTATCTATGTTTAAAAGAAAGACATAGGCCATTAATAATTAGAGATATCTTGGGAACAAGAGATATCTTGCAGGTCAATTTTACAGGATTTTGGTTTGTTTCTTCATCGAAATTGTCTCTTTATTTTATTAACTATTCACAGTCAAATATACCAGAGTGAAAACACAAGCAGGATAAAAACATGTTCGATTTGTTTTTTAAATACATCTTTTCAGTTAGCAGTAAATGTACTACTTATAAATTTCATGTGCCTTATATTTATTTTAAGAATGTCTGCCCCTAAAATATTTCCAATCAATTAAAAATACAATACATTAATTAGACTCATTATATTCATCTTACTGATAAAATATATTTTGATACTTTTTCTTAGATAAACAAAAAAATTAAGAAACAAGTTTATAGAAAATGAGAAAGAAAAGTAACTTTTTTGAGGAAGTATTTAAATTTCTTCAAACATAAAACATTGCCTAATACAAAACACTGACAGCAACATATTTTTAAGAAAGATTGTTTCAAATTTGGAAGTATGTAAATGTTTCTGTTTGGGGATGGGGGTTTCATGTAGGTACATCTGTTATACAAGTGACAGCAACTGATGCAGATGACGCCAACTATGGAAATAGTGCCAAAGTTGTCTATAGCATATTGCAAGGACAGCCATATTTTTCAGTGGACCCAGAATCAGGTACAACGTTTAATCTTGGCCGACCTCTTATTGTATAATACATTAAGATGCATATTAATTTAGAGATTTTAAAAATATTTTTAAGCCATTATTCATTCAGTTTCGTGTTTCTTTTTGTTTCCCATTGTTATTGAATGTAAACAAATGTAAACTTTCTATTATTTAAATAACTTATTAGAACCCTTAGCTCTTTAAACTTTTATTCCTTGGGTTTGAATTTGAAACACTTAAATACAAAATTTCACAGAGATTCAGCACATTATATGGTATCGAGAATATTCAAAACTTGAATGTGACAATTATCAAAATTAAACAACTGTATTTGTCTAAAGATTTTTGACTGAAGCTAATTTTTGTATTCAACAAAATAAATGCATTGATTTAGCAAAACCCATTTTATGAACAATAGCCTACGGCAAAACTCTTCTTGTTCTGTGAATTATGTTAAGGTGATTATGGATTGAAAGTCATATTTAAATAAACTGACATTTATGTTTGTTATAATCAACTTCTGTAAAATGAGTTTTGTCTAGCTTAATTTTAAAATTCAGTGATTTAATTGCAAAACTTGTGTCAACTTTTTTCAAAAGGTATAATAAAAACTGCATTACCAGACATGAGCAGAGAAAATAGAGAGCAGTACCAGGTTGTTATACAGGCCAAAGACATGGGCGGCCAGATGGGAGGCCTTTCTGGAACGACCACAGTCAACATCACGCTGACAGATGTCAATAACAATCCTCCTCGATTTCCACAGAGTAAGGAATGTTTCAGTGATCTCATGTCCAAAAACTTCTCGAACACACCACTAATAGAGTTTAACATTCACACTTCATACTTGTAGTTTTGCTACTGGTTTATGCATAATGGCAAAACCACAATTCATTCCTCTGCCAAAAAAAAAAAAGAAAAAAAAATCACGATTTCCCACAAATAGCGATGGTGATTATTTTCATCATTTTTTTGAGTACGCAATGGGAGAAAACAAAGTATTACTTTTCCCTGGTAACTTTTTAATTAGCTCTTCTAATTTTGAAGTGTTACAAAGTTTTCCAGACATCCTTTCTCAATATTCACTATGATCATCTTAAGATTTTCCTCTGAATCTGCTTCTTGGTTAGGATTATGGGCTCTCTTGTCTGGCTATCTGGATTCAAATACTGTGTCTTTCACTTGTCTTACTTCAGTTACTTTGTTTGTATGTAAAACTTACAATGTCTTCTCTAATTGATCCTGAAATCAATTATAATGGATTCTGGGTTTCAAGCGATTCTGTTGCCCCAGCCTCCTGAGTAGCTGGGACTGCAGGTATGCACCACCACGCCTAGCTAATTTTTGTATTTTTAGTAGAGTTGGGTTTCACCATGTTGGCCAGAATGGTTTCAATCTCTTGACCTCGTGATCCACCTGCCTCAGCCTCTGAAAGTGCTGGGATTACAGGTGTGAGCAACCTCACCTGGCTGAGAAAATGGTTTAAGCACTAAGATGGCCAAGTGGAGAGTCTGGCCGATATCCATAGGAGAAGTTAATCTGTTCACCTGGATTCTGAATGCTTTTGGTGGACATTATCGTAAGACACAATGACTTCTTGATATTTTAAAAACATCAGTGCAGATTGGCTTATTTAGCATCATGTTTATATTTTCTTAGTGTCCCATAGAATTATGGTTTACTATGTTTCAGAGGGTATTTTAGAGATATTCAAGTTTGGTAGTATCTCTTTTACCAAGTTATGAAAATTACATCAGTTAACATTCTTTGAGTTGTCATCATTTTAGGGTGGACATTAAACCATGGATGCTTTGCATTTGCTGATGTCCTGCAGAAAAAGATTTCCATTCTCTGCTGAAATTTGTTACGTTGCAGTGAATAAATATATGAGGAGCCCTATCTCAAAATATTCAGTTAAAAGCTGAAATTTAAATTCTTATCACTAATCTCAATACAGTAAAACATTTTTCCAGGTCAATTAGATTTAAAATGTTTTGTCGAAATTTGATTGATGGACATATTCATATGATACAGATAAAGTTTGCCAAGAACACAAATAATAAGCCTAAATAACATAAACTTAAATCCTGCATTCATAATTCTTTATAAAGTGTATTGCTTGGTGAATTCTTAATGTATTGACATTCTGTAATTCTGTTATCTATAATAATGTTAACAAAAGGTTTGGAACAGTGATAATAATAATAAAATACTAACGACTAGACCCAGAGCTAAATTTATGTATTCCAAAAAATAGACCTATGATGAATTACTATCATTATCATTGTTATTTCTTAGATGTGGACATCAAAGTTCAGAGAATTTAACTAACTGGCAAGGTGGTAAGAATTCAAACCCAGGCAGTTGGTTTTATATACTCATATTCTCAACCACCAAATAAACTGGAAATAATATAGACTTTGAAGTCAGAAAGAATTAGCTTTGCATTTTCCCTTTCCCAAATCTTCAGGGTAATTTCCTTATTAAGGCCTGCCCCTCAAGATGATGTAGGTAAATTGATCCTTTTTGGACTAGTGTGAGGATTAAGTAAATTAGCATATAAGCCCTTTAACCTTGTATAGACTGCAGTACAGTGTAAATGTTCAAAACTATTTCTGACCTTCATTAACATTAAAATTTTCTTTTTCCTGTTGCCTCTTAAATAGGTAACCACAAACTAAAATGTTTTTAGGGACAGCAGGATACAATATAATGCTTGGCTGAACATACACAAAATAGAAAAATCCGTGCCCCACTAAAAGATATTAAAACTAAAAACAAACAGGCAAAGAAAAGATGCATTGGTCTGTATGGCATTATTTTTCATTCCCAATTCAGAATAAAATAATAAATGCATTTTTATAAAATAATTGAGTACATGTAAAAAATGTGTGATGACCATTTTGAAAGCCCCAGATGAGCAGTAAATAATTGTTTTTCTTCTAGATTCTTATATCATGCCTACCATCAATTGTCTAAATAATCTTCTCCGTTTTTGGGACTTACACTTCTCCTTTATAAAATGAGAGTGTTCTGCTGTTATAAATTATTTTTCCAACCTAACAAATATATAATTTTTGACAGCTTACAATTCAAGTGCATAAAAGCTCTATTTAAAATTAATATGTTTAAGTGAAAAATGCAGAGGTAATGAAATAATGTTATCTAAAGATGAAGTGTCAAAACAGCTCTTACTTAACTTATAGGTACGTATCAATTTAATTCTCCTGAGTCTGTACCTCTTGGAACTCATCTTGGAAGGATAAAAGCCAATGACCCTGACGTGGGGCCAAATGCAGAGATGGAATATAGCATTGCTGAAGGAGATGGTGCAGACATGTTCGATGTCATCACTGACAAGGATACACAGGAAGGGATTATAACTGTCAAACAGGTTTCTTTTCACTGTCTTCACTTTTTCATTGAGTGCTTTATGATTTATTTTTGCTTTTCAGTAAAGGGAAGAAAAGCCTGGGATTTATTTTCCCCCATCTTTTACATGCTGTCTATCCTTAAGATAAGTGGGAATACTGGTGATCTCACTTCAAACAAGTTAAATGTCTTCATCATTGGCACTTATAAACCTCAGCGGCTCATGCTTACACTAGACAACAGTCAAATTAAAATTAGATAAACTTAAAGGTACTTGTTTTATATTTCTCCATAGAGGGAAAAATAGACATGCAGCTATCATTATTTCATGCACTTTTCAAAATACTTCCATTGTAAGTGTGGTGATCTATTTAAATAAATGAAACTTGAAGATACCTTATGTTTTCTGTTGGTTGCCTCAATTTTCAATGCAGTGTGGGAGGACATTCTGAATCTTTACATCTAATAATACAGCTCAATATTGATCATTTCATATTGTTCTTATTTCACTTTTTATTTATATCTTACTTTCCACAAGTGCTTAAATTTTTTAATAAAATAGAAATAACTTTTATTCTATACTTCTATTTTATATTTTTCCTCTGACTATAATTGTATAAATTTAGTAATGACAATACATGATGTATAAAAATGCATTAGATAGTACTTCATTTACCTGTCACCAAAAAATTGAAGTATACTACTAAGTGAGACTCAGTCTCAATGTGTATTCCATTATAGTAAATTAACCCTCTATAAGTATATGGTGAAACAAATACTTACAAATTTATTTTATATACCTATGAAGCAACAATTGAGAAAGTAATTTGAACAAAATTGTTTGTATAATCAGGATTGCTGGCTATTAAAATTTGAAATTGTCTTCCATTGTCACATCTTCTGAATTATGCTAATTTCTTTCATTTAACTTCAGAATTTAGATTTTGAAAATAAAATGCTCTACACTTTAAGAGTGGATGCCAGCAACACTCACCCTGATCCACGATTCTTACACCTGGGACCTTTCAAAGACACGGCTGTGGTCAAAATATCTGTGGAAGATATAGATGAACCTCCTGTGTTCAGCAAAGTCTCTTACTTGATAGAAGTAGATGAAGATGTAAAGGAGGGCAGCATCATTGGACAGGTTACAGCGTACGACCCAGATGCCAGGAACAATTTAATAAAGTAAGTGCTTGAAAATATTTATGTTTTTAGAAATACAATAACCTATTAGAAAGAAAAAAAAGAAATATAATAATCTCACCCTTTACAAACTGTGTGGGGAAAAAAAGGTTGCACAATGTATAATCAAGCATAGTAATACTATCGAACTCTTCCAGAGCACAAATTCTTAGCTTGGCTGTCTTTGATATGCTCTGGGTACAAGGTAGATAGTATTATAGTATTTTTCTGGAGACAATAAAACTAAGGCACCGAGTACTTAAATTATTTGCCCAATGTTTATTAGCAAAGCTGGGTTTAAGAACCAGGAAGTTTAAGTCCAGAGTCGATGATTTTAATTCCTTTATCGTTGGTGTAGTTCTTGTCTCACTGTCTCTCTTGGTTAAATAAAAGTTCAAAAAAGTAATGAAATAAATAAATTAGAAAAAAATATGTTATCTTAGAAATGATGAAATAGTTTCTTTTGAATATTGTTCATATATATATGTGTGTGTGTGTATGTATGTGTGTGTGTGTGTATATATATATATATATATATATATACTTTAAGTTATACTTTAAGTTATACTTTAAAGTATATATATATATATACTTTAAGTTCTGGGATACATGTGCAGAAGGTGCAGGTTTGTTGCCTAGGTATACATGTGCCATTGTGGTTTCCTGCACCTATCAACTCATAATCTATATTAGGTATTTCTCACAATGCTATCCCTGACCTATTTCCCCACCCACTAACAGGTCCCGGTGTGTGATAGCCCCCTCTCTGTATCAACTAAGGCCTAACACATAACATTTTTGAATAATATTATGTCAGTTATATTCCCAAAACACAGAGTATTGCTAAATGGATGACATTTAAGTCAGTAGAAAGATAAAAGTGTTAATTTGTATAGTATAACATCTTTCAAAATTTCAAATAACTTTTTACCATTTTATAGGTTTTAAATATACCAGAAACATAAATAAATCTCATATATTGTTCAAAGGGGAATTTAAATACAGTTGGAGCATATAGAAATTTATGCATGGGGTGGATGATAGGTGGATGAGTGGAGGAATATATTGACAGCTGAAGAGGCGGACAATACATTAACCTATCAAACATATGGCTAATAAATTACCTAAAATTTTGCTTAAAATTTAAATAGTTAGGGAAAATAAGTGGTTAAATTAATTTCATGTCCTTTACACATAGCAAATTAATAATCACGATACTAAATATATAACTATTTAATTTTCATTTTAGGACTATCCAAATATGTTAATTCACAAAGCAATTTGTTGCACTAAATATATTTTAATGATGATTTAATTTGTTGGTCAGATTAATATATTATTAAACATGCTAACCTTTGTAATTAAGAAACAGTCCATAAAATCCAATCTGTAGTCAATGCCCAAAGCTGATATTAGCTTGAAAATTTGAGTTAGCTTTAGGTTTATTACATTATGATTCCCTGTTCATCTGTTTTTTAAAAATAAATTATTAATGCCAAATTATGCATTTTGTATATTGTTTAACATCATTTTTGAAACATAACTTCTTGTTAATATTGGAGATTATTTTACTCTGGCAGAATTTTTATCGGTATACATAAAATGTTTAATTTAAAATATTCATATTGCTTAAAGTAAAACTCTTGAAGCAAAATGGAGAAGTAATCTAATTTTCCAATGATCAATGTATATGTACTAGCATGTTCATATCCAAAGCAATGTAGATTTGTGTTTCACTGAAATGGTATATGACTGCTTGGTGTTGGCGTCTCTTGTATGCACGCTTATTAGGTAAAAGTATAAATTATTTTTAAGTTTCCTGCAGTACTGAGATGGAAATCGGCATTCATCCATTTTTTTTTAAAGGATAAGGGGTTGTTTATACCAGTAGCTACACATGCTCAATAAGTGTCTGTTATTGACAGTTTTTGTCATGTTTCGAAAAAAGTCATCAATGTTGGTTGTTCCTTTATTTCTCCTTAGCGTTTGTTGCACCCAATGTTTATGCTTGAAATCCTACATTCATTTTAAAAGTAATAGATTGTAACTTTTTTCAATGCAATCACATATTATCAGAAAAATGTAAACAATGACATTATATCAACTTAGATAATGAACCATGTAATTGCTGGACAATTGAATATTTTTGAGTCTGAATGAGACCAAATATTTATAATAATACATGTATCTTTTCTTCATCCATCTAGCATATGTGCATATTAGGAATTCAATAAATGTTGGGTACCTCGCAAGAGGAATGATTCCCCTTCTATATCACCAAGGGTATTTGTTCATTTATTCAGATCAGGGGTCCCACGAAGCTTTGTCAGTTCTTTAGCATTCCTTTCTGAACAAATGTTTTCATCTTCTCAGTAAGTCCTACATAAGCAACAACATACATGTTCTTTAGTCAAATTGCAGCATCAAATTCATGACATCTAGACTGTCTTAAACATTTTGTCTACTCTTTCTTCCATAAAATAGTGTTCATCATGTATTTAGCCCTTGCTCTGAAGTGGAAACTGTTTAGAAGTTTATATTTATTGGCTCATTTAGGCTTCATCACAATGTATAAGGCAGGCACAATTATTACCACTCCAATTTTACAGAAGAATAAACTGAGATGAAAAAAATTCAGGTAATTTTCCCAAGGACAGAGTGCAAATGATTTGCGGACATCTGGGTAGAAATCCAATTTGTTATCAAATATACAGTATGTGGTTTCTCTGTGACTTGATTATGAGGTAGAAGTAATTAATATGATGCTGTTCGTTTGTAGACAAATTCAGCAGATCTCGGTGGTATCAAGCAAAGCTCTCAAGGGCAAAATTATGTAGGAAGCAAAACATGGCTTTTGTCCCTATGACTTTGGTCCAATTATTTTCCAGGACTACAAAATGGAATTTCATAAACACTATATATATTATCTTAGGAAACTATGGTTTTATTTCCATTCTTTTAATAGCATCATTGAGGTGTAACTGACCTGCAGCAAATGGCATAAATGTAAAGTATATGAGTATAACACTGATCTACTTTCTTTCAGTAGATTCAATTTTCTTTTCTTTCCTTCCTTCCTTCCTCCCTCCCTCCCTTCCTTCCTTCTTTCCTTCCTTCCCTCCCTCCCTCCCTTCCTCCTCTCTTTCTTTCTTCCTTCTTTCTTTCTTTTCTTTCTTTCTTTCTTTCTTTCTTTCTTTCTTTCTTTCTTTCTTTCTTTCTTTCTTTCTTTCTTTCTTTCTTCTTTCTTTCTTTCTTTCATCTTTTTCTTTCTTTCTTTCTTTCCTTTCTTTCTCTCTTTGTCTTTCTTTCTCTCTCTCTTTCTTTCTTTCCTTTCTTTTTTTTAATTTTTGAGATGAAATCTTGCTCTTGTTGCCCAGGCTGGAGTGCAATGGTGCGATCTAGGCTCACCGCCACCTTTGCCTTCTAAGTTCAAGCTATTCTCCTGCCTCAGCCTTCCCAGCAGCTGGGATTGCAGGCATGCACCACCATGTCCAGCTAATATTTGTATTTTTAATACAGACGGGGTTTCTCCATGTTGGTCAGGGTGATCTTGAACTCCCAACCTCAGGTGATCAACCCACCTAGGCCTCCCAAAGTTCTGGAATTACAGGAGTGAGCTACTGAGCCCAGCCAATAGATTGGATTTTCTAGAATTCTATGTAAATGAATCATGTGTGTTCATTCTTGTTGAGTGCATGAATAGTTTTCTTCCTTTAACAGCTAAATAGCCCTTCAGCATATAAAAATATAACAATTTTCTTATCCACTCACTTGTTAATAGGCGTTTTGGATTGTTTCCAACCCTGGAATATTATATTTATACAAATATGTATGCGAGTACACATGTACACACCTCTGCATCATCGGATAGCCACAGGCTTTCATTTCTCGTGGGTAAATATCTAGAAGAGTAACCGTTGACCATACTGGTTTTTACCAGTCAATGGCTTGAATTTATATTCTTTTAAACTGACTTTCAGTAAATGAAAGTTCTTCATTTTAATGAAATGTAATTTATCAACTTTTATAATGGATGAAGATTTTACTGCCTAATTCAGGGCAATATTGTATTTATTTTATATCATAGATATAAATATAGATATAAATATAGATCTATGATCAATTTTAAGTTAATGTTGTATATGGTGTGTGGTATGGATCAAAGTTCTTTTCTTTTTTGTATTTGGTAATATACTATTTTCAACATTTTTATTGTTGAAATGAATACCGTATTCCTCCACTGAATTATTTATATACTTTTGTTGCATGTATGAATCTATCTCTGGACATCATTTTACTCCAATTCACTATTTGTCTATGTCTACAAAAATACATTTTGTATAGCTTTGTAAAAAACTGTGAAAGGAGATTGTTTTTGTCACTTAATGTTTTTTTCCTGTTTTACAGTTGTCAGTTTTTCTAGGACCCTTGCATTTTGACATGCCAATTTCTATAAAAGCATCCACTGGGATTTTACTGAGACTGTGTTTAGTCTGTAGATAAATGTAGGCAGAATTGATATTATAATAATGTGGAGTATATTAACTCACAAACAGTACATATCTCTCCACTCATTTTAGAATATCTGTTCATATTCTTTGTCCACTTCTTGATGTTTTCTTTTTCTTGTAAATTTGTTCAAGTTCCTTGTAAATTCTGGATATCAGCTCTTTGTCAGATGGATAAATTGCAAAAATTTTCTCCCATTCTGTAGGTTGTCTGTTCACTCTGATGATAGTTTCTTTTACTGTGCAGAAGCTCTTTAGTTTAATTAGATTCCATTTGTCAATTCTGGTTTTTGTTGCCATTGCTTTTGTTAAGTCATGAAGCTTTTGCCCATGACTATGTCCTGAATGGTATTGCCTAGGTTTTCTTCGAGGGTGTTTATGGTTTTAGGTCCTATGTTTATGTCATTGACCCATCCTGAGTTAATTTTTGAATAAGGTATAAGAAAATGGTCCAGTTTCAGTTTTCTGTATATGGCTAGCTAGTTTTTCCAACAT